GAGAGAGAGAGAGAGAGAGAGAGAGAGAGAGAGAGAGAGGGGCCCAAGTTTGGGCAATGATCCGATTGGAAGGAATTTGACCCAATTGGGCGTTTGGGAAACGGTTGCCATGGCTAGCTCCTTGCCAAATGGAATTCTGCTGAGTTTGTGTTGAAGAGTCTGTTTTAGGAAAGGTGTAGCCATCAAGATTCGAACTTGTTATCTGTTTATCATGATTCAAGAGTTATATATGTGTGTGGCAGTATGTATCATTCAGCCACCAGGCAGGTGCAGGTGGACTGAATGACTCGTGTGGTGGATATTTTCATACTTGTGCCAGCGTGTTGCTGATGCTGCTGAATGCTTTTCAGCTGAATTGATGTGTGTTTGAAGAATCGACAAGACGACCCTCCTGAATGACTGCGTCACCGAGGGTGCTTCGTGGAGAAGAGGTGCTCCTACGGTGAAGTGTGGATGGTATAGACTGTAAACTATGACAAGAATGAGCGGCAAGTGCTTGTGGAATTCGTGGAACTTGCCTGCTCGGACTGCTCCATGTAGCTTTCTGCCTCAGACAGTGAAACTGACATCTGGCGCTGTTGTGATGCGGCTCCGCAATGTCTCCCCAAGAGCGGCGTTATGCTATGGCACGCGGAAGATTGTGAAGCAAGTTCGCTACAACGAACTTCTGAAAGTGACAGTAATTTGCGGACGTGAAATTGGTTACATTCCCAGGACGACCACCGTTATCGGTGATGTTGCCATGGGATTCAGATCCATGCGGGACCAGTTCACGCTGGGCCTAGCTGTTGCAGTCAGGATCAATAAGGCACCGGGGCTGACTGTCCTGCATGCCTGTGGTAAGTAGCTTGACAACCTCCCTCCAACAAAAAACAACAAGAAAAAAGGTGCCTTGGCGACCCTGTGCTGGCTCATGGACGACTATGGGATCACGATCAACTGGTTCTCAGAATTTAGTCAGCAATTTGTTCTGTAACTGATATGTCCCCATACACGCAGGCAATGATAAAGCAGACTTTTTATGGAGGCGGCAAATCCACAAAAAAGCGGAGAGAAGTACACAGTGGAAGCTTAATATACAAAAGTAGAATTGAAGGTGAAACTTCGAGTCTTAATCCCTCTTCCTCCTCCACTCGATCAGTTGTACAAAATTCCAAGAATCCCCAACCGGTTTCAACAACCCCGAACAAACTCAACAAAACTTCATTTGAAATCACAGGAGTCTTCTCGTTCCTCCGACTTCCAACTCTACTACAACCTCCCTGGCTATAGTGTTCATCGCCTGAAGCTGCAGACCACCAGCGCCCCTTCCCTGCTTCAGCACCAACCGGCAACCACTCAGAAAACCTGGCGCCTGGTCAGCACCCAATCAGGATGTGCAGCGGCAGCACTCTGAACGAAGGAGAAGCTTTTTGCCTCTCGAAGAACAATGGCCGCCATGAAGTGATCAATGGCAGTGCCCAACCCTCAACAGAACAGGTGGGTTTCGCCGCTCACAGCGCCTGTAAGGCTGTCTGCAGCGCGGTCCTGCACTTCCTGTCACCACCCCAGCTATGGTGGTCGTCTCTCTTACAGCAGTGGTCTCGCCCCTTGAACGCAGCAGCCTTTGCCCAAAACAAACAAGGACCAAAAGAACCCGTCTACAATTGACCTCATCCTATTCCTAAACTTCCCCGACAGCCTACCGGACTCACGGACTTCTAGTAGGACCCAGGACTCCCTGCTTTCATCACTCTCCTGACTGCAGCTTGCATGTGCATCAGCCTCTCCTATCCTTTTTGCGATGCAGCAGCCTTTTAAGGCAGTGGGGTGAAATAGGACATTACAGTATGTTAACCTTTGCTCCGTGCCTCTCCCTCATACTCGCTGGCATTGCTGCAGCTGTTATGCTCCTCCCTGTGGATGCAGGCAGTTTGTGACAACTCAGGTTAGGTAGTGGGAGAACATGGCTCCCTGCTGGTGCAGAACTGTCCTCCTGAGCTTGTGTGCATCGGACTGCACCATGCACTGGTTCTACTCTTTCACCGCATTTTCCTCCCTGCGGAAGTGCTCTGTGCCTCCATGACGGCCAGGGCTCACACACCTGTCTTCCGCAATACCTCTGATCCACACTCGTTCTACTGAGTCCCAGCCTATCCCATGGTGGGATTTGCTTCGGGGACCCGCTGTTACTGCAGCCTCATCTCTTCCCCTCTTTCTTCAGAGGGATCTGCATCCCTCTCCTCTCCCAAGCTGTAGTCTTCTGGAAGTGTTGCTGTTATCGGGGCTTGTAGAACTGCAGCATAACCTGCGCTATCCTTTTGTTTTGCTGAGGAGAATCCTGCCCCTTGCCCTTTGCCCACCTGCGGCCCTGTTGCACATTGCAGATCCATATCAAATTTTGATGTTTCCTCGGTCATCCCACCGGTATGGCTCAAGATCTTTACACTCGTGCCCCAAAAAATTGGTCAGCTTTGCAAGGAGGGCACTTGTAAACGCAAAGTCACTCCGAGGCCGAGCCCCTGTACCTGCGGGATCTGGTTGAACTCTCGACCAGATCGCTCACACTGCCCTCATATGTTTGACCTCCCAACTCAAACAGTATGGGGAACACCTTGTCCTGTCTTGTCACAGTCGTATACCGCCCCTTCAATCTTCGAGGGAATTCCGTCCAGCTGACCTTGTTCACATACTTGGCCACATGTTCACCTGTCTGCTGTAACAGCTCAGAATCCATCCATTTCTTGGCAACGTGGTCGAGGCATGAGAAGCAAAGTACATTTTGTCTACATCCTTCGGTAATTTGTAATACCTCAACTGATCCTTGATCTCATGCAGCCAACAGTCCATGTCTTCGTCTCTCTCGCCTCTGAACCATGACGGCGGACTTAGTTTGGCCTTGAGGGCTGCTTGCCCTGTGCTTCAGAAGACTGCTCCGTGATGCAGACTGTGCAAGTGTGGCAGCCCAACTGGTGAGGAAGAACCCTTTGTCGCCCAGTTGCGTGAGGTTTTTATCTAACAAATGATCGTCGAAATCTTCAGTCTGGCACTATCAGCTGTCAGCGCTCTACCAACTGTAGGGTTGTCACCACTTGCAACCTAACATCTTCCAGTCACGAAGACTCTTCCGAAGCCTGCTTTGAGTCCAACACCTGCTTCTTCTTTTTTGCTTCCTCCAATGGACCTCCATGTCTTTTAAAATTATAAGTTATTACTTAAAATTTTTAAGTTTTTTTTTTTGTTTTTTTTGTTTTGTTTTGTTTTGTTTTGTTTTGTTTTGTTTTGAAACACCATTGCGTCTGAGGCTGTTTTTGCCGAACCTGAATTTTGCTGTGCACGGAGTTTTGCCGAGCCTGTGTCCCAGAAGTGTTTACTGTTTTATTTTCTTTTTCTTTCTTTCTTTCTTTCTTTCTTTCGTTTTTTTTCTTTTTTTTTTTTCTTTTTTTTTTTTAAACGGGACCTTATGGTCCTGGCTCCTTATCCATTCTGGGGAGCATCAGTCCGGTTCCTATTCCCCTGGCAAGTCAAGAATGAATACATCAATATACACGCTCACACTTCCTTCCGTATGGCCGAAGGACCCCTAACCAGCATTGATTTTTCCTTGAAGGAGGATTGACTGTCAGCTTGCCTGTCCCTTAATTCCCTCTCAGATTCCATGTTGAAAACTGTCTGATACTGCATTTAAAGCAAGGAGAAGGGAGATAAGCAACTGATTGGATCCTGGACCGCCTCTTATGCCACTGGATTATCCCATTGGTATTGGTACAGTCTGCAGCTCACTGAGTGTTTCCCCGGACAGCAGACAGCCGCTTGGTGAGTGGTTCCCAGGGGGTCTCACGTACCCCTGGTATCTTGTTGTTCCTTCTGGAAGGAGCCTCTCGTTCCTCAGGGGGTAGCTGGATTGTGCCAGTCTTTCCATCTGATTTGTAGGGCGTGAATGTCCGCGATCTTTCCCTGGACCAGCCACACCCTTCTGAACTTGGCTATCATTTCCTGTTGTTTGTCCGGGTCCTGCTGAATTTGAAGCTTGACCTTCTTCCACTGGCAGCGGATGTCAGTCTCCATGAGGATTTTCGTTGATGCCCATACTTGTTCCGACGGTATGCTGGAGTTGTCAATGGTCCGATTGCACCTTTCCTTCCACATTACCCACAGTGTCACCTTTCTGATTATCCCGAACCAGATGCGCTCCGACTTGTTGAATTGTGAGGGGAGGTTAGTCCATAGGAGTAGCTGGATGGGGTGTTCAGGTAAGGGAGAAGGAAATAAGTGGTCCCGGAGAGCTGCAGCTCTCGCCCATATGTCAGTAGCAAAGCTGCAAGTTATCAGACAGTGTAACATGTCCTCTTGTTCGTTATCAGAGCATATGGCGCATTGTTCTGAACTGTTAGGGTCACTGTTTCGCCTGCGGACGTGTAATCATGCTGGTTTTTTTTTTTTTTTTTTTTTCGTGGAGGATTGACTGTCAGCTTGCCCTGCTTCATCCGTTCCTCTCAGGTCTAACGTGAAAACCTGTTGTATAAAGCATGACTAGCGAGAAAGGTCCTAGAAGCTGCCAAACCATGCTGTTTTATTTTCTGGTACTTTCAAGAAAACAGGTTTCATCATGGCAGTTGCATCCATAAAAGAGCCAAAAAGAGAAAGGAAAAAAAGATTTGGACGTAACAGCAGCTGAATACATTCTCGGAAGAACACGTGTGGGTATGCCCTCAGTGAGGGCTGTAAGAGGCGCAGTCAAATTCACGAGAGGAATGGGAAAAAAAATTGAAACTGTGCTGTGGACGGGAAAGCAGTTGGATACATTCCCAGAAGTAGCAGTGTGAGTATGCCCTCCGTGAGGGCGTCAAAACACCCCGTCGAATGCGCCCTGCCTCGCTTTCAGGGTGCCACAAAGAAAACAAAAGAAAAAGTTAAAAAAACAAACACAAATCATAACATTTCCTACTAGCCAAAATAGGGATGGGGTACATTCTGGAAAATACTACTGTGAGAATGGCCTGGGTCACGGCCTTCCCCAGCATCATAGCAGTTGGATACACAGGGCCCGAACACTTTGTTTATGCCGACCCTCCTCCGGACCACTGAAAACTTCAGAAAAACGGGAAAATTGGCAAACTGCCAGTTTTCCCATTTTTCCCAACAGCGGGCGAGGTAGTGGTGGTTTAAGGACATTCCTTTTTATTTCTATATCACAAACCGGGTCCAGAGACCCACCCAATGCCTCCCTTCATTATGTATGGTCGAGGGATACTGAGACAGCAGCATTGATACCTCCCTTCACAGGAACGATGTACTACCTCCCCACCCCTGCTTCCTATACCTTTTTCAAACTGCCTCTTCTCCGGAAAACAGTTAAGATGACCCCTCTCAGTTCACTTCTGTGAGCTTCCAAAAAACTTTCAGTACTAGCTAGGGCATGTCAAGACGTTCCCGGATCTTACCTTCCTCTTGCTCTTGTAATCTTTGTGTTGCTGAGTTGCCACTTCCATTGTTCCGCTCTCTTCTTGTCCCTTACTGTTCCCCATCCATAAAGCCCTCTCTCTCCTCTCGTTTCGTTACTCCGCCTGCCCCGGTTCACGTCAATCCTCCTTTTTCATTCCCAGACCATTCTGAGATTGTACTTACAGCCCTTCTACGTTGGTTTGTTCGCTGTCCCTTTCTGCTCCCTGTCTGTGTTCCTCACTCACTTTAGTCTCTTCTCTCCGTCCCAGCCTGTCTGTTCCTGTCTCATACCAATCTCCAGACCTGAGGGCTTGTCCTTTTATTTGTGCTATTTGCTCCTTAGTTAACCATTCCTACTCGAATTACTTTTGCAACTGCATCCTTCTTTGGGGGTCTGTAGCTCCCTCTCCATGGA